CACACTCACTGCATCCTACCACACACACACACACACACACACACACACACACACACACGTTTAACTGACAAGCTGATTTATCAATATACAAGATTAGCTCTTCTCACTAATGAATAAAACAAATGTAATTAATATTTGTGTGTTAAATACATTCAAAGTGACTGCGCCTCCTCAGAAGACCTGGATTATACCACTCGATTCATATGAATTAATTTGACGATGTCCTTATATATTATTTGAAGCTTAAAAATGATGGTGGAATGGAGTTTCAATGGAGGGACAGAAATCTCTCACATTTCATTACAAATATCTTCATTTGTATTTCGCAGAAGAAAGCAAGCCATAGAGATTTGGAGCGACATGAGGGTGAGCAAATCATGAGAGAATTTTAATTTCACAGTTATGATTTACATATGACCACATGTGTCATATCTTTTAAGTATTCGGCAACTTGATCTCATAATTGAGGTCATTTACGTATAGAAGACTTAAAGCTACAGCAACAAAAACAATCTATAGTTATACAAGGACCATTATAGAAATTCATGGAATAACATTAATGCTACAGACGTGTACACGAGAAACTCGGATTTAAGGATTAGTTCACCCAAAAATGATAATTCTGTCATTAATTACTCCCCTCATGTCGTTTCAAACCCGTAAGACCTTCGTTCATCTTCAGAACACAAATTAAGATATTTTTGATGGAATCTGAGAGCTGTCTGACCCTGCATAGACAGCAACTGAAATGTTCCCAAGTCCAGAAACGTAGCGAGGAGATCTGTAAAACAATCCATGTGACATCAGGGGTTCAACCATAATTATACGAAGCTACGAGAATAATTTTTGTGCGCAAAAGAAAAAAAATAATGACTTTATTAATAACAATTAGTCTCCTCTGCAACACCCTGTAGCGCCATTTTGAAATTAATGACAGAATTTTTATTTTTGGGTGAACTAACCCTTTAATACTATTCTCATGGTGGCTGCTGTGAACCTGCCTGACCGAACTTGTGCAATTCAATGTTTCTTGGAAGAAGAAACTACTCACTGAAAATCAACACATGACTTTCTAGCCCAATGGCTTTTACCAGTGCTATTAATAGCTGACAAGAAAATAAGACATTGTCTTTTTATGATTTCTGGAAGCATGACATTTGATCTGTCAGTCATAACCTGGAATATAATGTCAGTGGCCTTAGCCTTGAACAATACATATGTGCAATGGGGTCTTATTTGCATTATAACTGTAAGCTCATATCCTGCTGCATTATATATCAGGGCTCAACAATCAGGACGGCCTGCTAGCCCAAGGGCAGTGTGAGAGCGTGTCAGGATAGTTACTTGCCTTTTGGGGATAGTTTTAAATTCATTGTTCCTTGTACATCCATTTTTATGTCTTGCAAACTTAAATATTTTGTTTTCCAGTATATAAATCTATAGTTACATTATAGCTCTATAATTTTCAACTCAATGAAATTTCAATTTGTTGTCAAAATATTGTTGTCAGAAAAAGATCGGTTGGTTGTATTTAAATGTATTGCCATATCAGCTTCATTGGCTATTATACAAATTAAACATTCAACAACATAATATCATAAATACAATATAATAAAAATAGTGGTGTCAATCGAAAAAAAAAAAATCAACGAATTAATCGCATTTTTTCTGAAATTAACTGTGATTAATCGCAATTAGTCCCATCTAACATTAAAGTTTTTAAATATACTTTTAAATTGCAATAATTTCACATTAATGTAGAAACAACATAAAAACTGTATTTTTTTTACTATTTAATGGCATCTTTAGGACTGAATGCGAGTATCACGGATACCAATACTACTGATGTCTCTATGATTTTTCTTCTTCTAATCTTTAACCATTGACTATAGCCATTCAACATTATAGTATAATTGAGAGCTATCAATTTGAACATTTATTAGACTTTAACTTCTAATTTAAGTGAACTTAAAACAATAAACAATTAGGAAATATGCAGAAATCGAATAAAGCTATCAAACATAAATTCTAAATTAAATATAGATGAATCCTTAAAGATACAAAAGTTATTGACTTGCTCTTTTTTTTCTTTTGTTGTTTGATTAACAGACATCACAGCAGCTGGCTATGAGGTTTTTTTGGCTGCTATTACTTTAAGAGCTGCTGCTGAACATGACGCAGATCTGACACACATCTCTTTACCTTTTCTGACCCACTTCAGCTCTTAAAGTCTCTATAATGAGCTGACGAGTTGAAACGGGTGTGTTAGATCAGGGAAACAATGCTGCTGCTCCACGACAGTTTGGAAAACCACTGCACTTCAGAGACATGTTCTTAAATCTGACTCGTATAACAAATACTGACATGCATGGACAGTTTTAAGGCAGCTTTAATTGCCTTTTTGGTAACTTCATGACTTAACTGATGACATAACTACAACATTGCATGCTCGTAGTTTCTTTTGTGCTTTAATATGAAATTTTATATATACAGCGCACTGCTGCATTTGTGCATGCAATTGAAGAGCACACCCTACGAGCAAAATTGTAAAGGTTTTTTAAAATTATTAATAAGTCCTTAAAAGTTTGTCCTGATAAAAATCACTGTCTCATAACATAAAAAATTGGACAGACCACAAATATAGGTTTTACAGTCAAGTTGGGGCTTGACATTTTGGTGCTTCTTTACCCTTCAATAAATGCCCATGAGTCAGTTTAGTATGGCCTATCTGACAACTTGTGTATACAACTTGGTTGTGTCTTGTCAAAAGAACTGGAAAGAATTATATATAAAATACACTACCATTTAAAAGGTTTTGGGCTCAGTAAGTTTTTATTTTTATTTCATACTCTTTGATCAGAATTGAAACTGATGACTGGAGTAATGGCAGCTAAAAATTGTAAAACATTCAAATAGAACACGTTTTTTTAAATGTTAATAATTATATTTTACAATATTTCAGTTTTTTTTTGGGGATTAAACAAATGCATCCTTGGTGTTTTAAATGTTAATAATTATATTTTACAATATTTCAGTTTTTTTTTTTTGGATTAAACAAATGCATCCTTGGTGAGCAGAAGAGACTTCTTTCAAAAATATATTTTTTTAAATCTTACTGATCCCAAACTTTTGAATTTTAGTGTACACAGAAAAACAGTAATGGACAAAAAAGTGATCATTTAAAGCAGAAAAAAGTCTTTACTGTTGAGCCCTGCATATGTTTGTCTATCTGTGCTTTAGATAGTTTGCTCTGTAACACGTGACTGACGTGTCCCTCACCTCCATTATGTCTTTAATGACGGGTGTCCAGCGAGACACGTTGTAAGTCTCCTTGTCTGACCGGTCTTTCCGAGGTTGTTTACGGAATGAGAACATGCTCGGCTGTTATGAGGAGAGATGGAGGTGAAAAAATGAATATCATCAAAAATAAATCCCTTTAAAATTGCAGTTGTATTGCATCCAATCAGAACTGTAAAAAATCAACACGCAAGAATAAACAATAAAATTAGCTTTTGCTGTGGTTTAGAAAATGCCATTGACTGTCTTGAAAGTTTGTTTGTATGCATACTAAAACTTTGGAACTGTAATAACTCTATAAACCTACAGCACTTCCCTATTCCCAAATACATTCCAAGATATTAAACCGCAATTCAGAACGCATCAAAACCAAATAATAAGTCACCAGTATGAGTGAATTATGCAATATCAACAGGAAAAGAAGCAGTGCCAGAGGAGAAAGCAAGCATCTGCAGACTCACCGTGGAGAGGATGGGAACTCCCAGATGTTTCCAGTTCAGGATATACCCGCTCTCATCCTCGATTTTCACATGCTGAATCAGTTTATTCAGGTTCTCCGCTGTCGTTCCTGCTCATTACACACAAACACACATTCAGCTGCACTCATCCAGCAGGAAAACATACTAAGCTGGACAGTTAAGATGTTTCCCAATCTCTACATGACAAGAAAAGAGAAATATCCACCGTTTAGACTGAAGATGTAGAGTAGGACGGCCCGGATCTTATCAGTGGTGTCATGTGGGTGTAACAGCACAGGAAGTAACATCCTCATGGGGTCCTTGACCTTCTGTCCTTCAGCATCTGCACCTACAGCCAGATCCTACATACAAAGCACAAAATCAGACACACAAAAAGACCACGTGAGACTAGGGCTGGGTATCGAGTTCGATGCTTTTTAGGGACTGACCGAATTGCCTCGATACTATCGAGTATCGAAAAATGTCTTGTCGTTCGGTACCAAATTTCGATACCTAAGGGGTTAATCAAGAGGTGTGTTCAACTTGACGTGGCGCTGCGCAGACCGATAGGTGTTAAAGGGGTCATATGATGCGATTTCAAGTTTTCCTTTCTCTTTGGAGTGTTACAAGCTGTCCGTGAATAGAGAAGATCCCTAAAGTTGCAAAGACTAAAGTCTCAAATCCAAAGAGATATTCTTTATAAAAGTTAAGACTCGTCCACGCCCTCCTAAAACACCTCATTTAAACATGCCCCCACATGTCTACATCACTATGGGAAGATTTGCATAATGCCGCCCAAATGTTCACGCAAAGAAAGACGGCATAACTTTATTGTTGCTGCCACCGCCGCCACCACGCTGTGTGTTTCGTTGCGAAAGCGAAAATACTTTGTTTGGTTTTCCAAAAGAGGACACAACTAGAAATCAGTGGTTAAGTTGTATTTACAACACTGTTCCAGAACAGATCAACCCAAATATTCAGATGTGTGCAGCGCATTTTATGGAGGACTGTTTCCTGATCCTGGTAGAGTAGACTACAATGCCGGCGTGACGTAGGTATGTGGGGGCGTGTTAGAACGAGCCGTTTTAGGTAGGCGTGGCTGACTCTTAACTTTTATAAAGAATATCTCTTTGGTTTTGGGACTTTAGTCTTTGCAACTTTACAGATCTTCTTTATGCACCAAGAGATTGTAACACTTCAAAGAGAAAGGAAAAATTGAAATCGCATCATATGACCCCTTTAAAACAGCTTTTTAAAATGAAAGCGTTCTTTGTCCAAACTGGCGTTTCCACTAATGTTCCGTTTCAGAAACAATCTCCGTCCACACTAATGTTACACGACTGAAAACCACCATCATGTAATAACTTTGTGTTTGTAATAACTTCTGATCGCGATCTTGTGTGTTTTGGCCATATAATGTTGCTGAAATATGTTATTTGTAGCTTATATCAGGCTAATCGCTACACCTGCTTAGCTTTTCTCGTGTAAACACTCTGTATTGTTATGAAAATAGGCAGAATCGCATTAAAATGCCATAAATCATATACTGTCGTAACCGTGTGTTTATTATGTTCATGTTTCATCCGTAGAAATGTTTTTCTGGGTTTCTTATGTACAGAACCAAATGCGGAAGTGTAATGGATGTTCGTCATCAGAGACAGGGCGGGTTATGAACGTGTAACATGATTGACATGAGCAGCGAATGATCTCCTCTGAGTCAGAACAGCGATCGCGGAATAGAAAACACAGGCAGACAGCGCTGGAAGCAGCTGCTCATCAGTAAATCAGTGTAAAATAAATAGAAATGAGGATTCTGTCTGAGAATCATCCGTCTTGTGCAGTGGCTCAGGAGATGAGTCTTTTGAGTCTGTAAAAACGTCAACAAGCTGAAAAAATAAAACAGTTTTTCTTAAGTGTGTTTTTTTTTTTTTAGGTAATGTGTAATCTTGTTAAAACAGATTTCATAAAATTGGTATCGGAAAAAGTATCGTTCAGGAACCGGTATCGAAGTCAAGGTATCGGTATCGAAGATTTTTGAACGAAACCCAGTCCTACGTGAGACACTCTGGATCAGATGAGGGCGTCCTTTCCCTCGAGACATCACTAAGATTTACCTGTTCGGCTTTGCAGAGTTTTTCCACATTCTTCTGGAAATGACTCATCAGATCCTCAGCTAAACTAACGTGGACAGTTTTCTGAGGGAGAAAAATGGGAAACATTAAATTGCATGCGAGTATTTTAGGCAGCCTCGACCATCACTACTGAATGTATAGGCAGACTAAACGTGATCTTTCACAGTCACAGGTGACATGAGATAGCACACTCTTTCAGGACATGTGAGGCGGCTCGATTACCTGAGTCATCTGCTTGCGGAAGCCTGGCATCTTCTTCATGAGCTGTGATAAGCCTCCGATTGTGATCTGCCAATGACAGGGGCATCTATGACATACTCATATGAGGGAATCTGCAACTGGACACTACTGTTATTGTTTGGAGGTGTAATTAATTGTAAAAATATACTGTACATTCCCATCAGCCTGTTTCTTCTCATCTCTGTTGGCAGAGATTTCCTTCACCAGTTTGGGGATTTGCCTTTGGAATAAATAAATACAATAGTGCTGATTACATTAACAAGGATATTTATGAAGATAATAGGCTTTATGCTTAACACCTCATCTGCTTATTTTACAGAATACAGAAGTTTGTTGCGAATAAACCCCCATTTGGCAAATACCAAAGCTACAATGCATGTATCTTTTGTGGATAAAGCGATCCCATAATGCACTGCAGCAAGCTCCAAGGAGGAGAAAGGAGTTTGGGGTCAGTGTGATTTTTTTTTTTCTTTTTTGAAAGAAATTAATACATGTATTCATCAAGGATGCATTAACTTGTTCAGAGTGACAGCAAATAACATTTATAATTTGGGATGCACCGGTTGACCGGCCATAAATCAGAACCGGACGGTTTTTGCTAACACGCGATCGGCAACCGGACGTTTATTTTTTCGGCCGATTTTTCCGGAAGTGCGCACTACATTGGAATCATTCGCGAACATGTAATTTGTGTGGAAGTATTTCGAAATCCGTTTTCTGAATCCCGCTCCCGCAAACATATATGGCAGGGGTCTCCAACACGTCGCTTGCGAGCTACCAGTAGCTCGTGGCCTGATTGGAGGTAGCTCGCCAAGACATACTTGACATATCGGCCGTGAGGTTATTTTAATTATCCCGTTTCATATTTTAATTATCATTAAACCCGTATTTGATTATCGCGATTTGAAAAACTCACAGTAAATACTGCTCAGCTTTAATCAAAGTTATTATTATAAGAGTCTCACACAGACGCAACATGCAGAGTAGTTTCGTTTTGTGTGAAAACATGACTGAAGGCAGAGTGCTGAGGGAAAGAATGCATATGTGTATGAAAGAATGTATGATTTAATTATGTGTATGAATGTATAATAGGAAACTGACTGTCTTCAGAAAAGTTTCGATGGCATTTGCTTTCCATCTTCCCTCCGTGTAATGTGTAATAAAGCAGTGTTTAGAAGCGCAGCTTTGTTTACAGAGGTTACCGTGGAAACAGTTCTATTCTGCTGTTCATAAGCGCCACCTGCTGTCAAACTGTGGATTTACAAATTCATTCAGTCTGTCCGCCATATTTTTGTTCAGACCAATGCAAAAATCAGACCAGATTTTTGTTGTAAATCTTAACCGATCGATGGAAAATAGGCTTGTTATCAGAGGTGTTGAGATTTTTAGAATGCACATGAGCTTATGTAGAACTGTTTATGGAGCAGATAACTTTTTTTTTTTAATTTATCATTCTGACACATCCTTTTTATTGAAAAAAAATATTTTAAGGCTGAAATATTATAATTTTATTTTAAAAAAATGGTCAAAACTTTATTTGAACATGTAGTACATGTCAGTAGATAACATGTTATGAATATTGTTTGTTAGTTTAAAATCCGGCCATCATTTTTTAATGTTTTTATTTCACTGCTTATGCAAACAATAAGTGCATAGTGCTGCTAATTTTATTTCTTCGCTTTTGTCATAAAACTTGGTATAATGATTTCAGTGTGTGTATCAGTACTTTTTAAATACAGTGGTGTGAAAAAGTGTTGGCCCCCTTCCTTCCGGGTGTGTGATAGTGCCCATTGTTTTCAATACCCAAAAGCCAGTCTGGCCTGTTAAATACCAAATAAACATATTGTTCAAGTATACTTTCATTCTTTCTTGTTTGTTGCTTAAAGGAAAAAGAAATCGGAAATCAGTATTGGAATCCGCCAGTTTGCTTGTAAAAAAAATCGGTATCGGAATCGGCCATGAAAAACTATGATCGGTGCATCACTATTGATAATGTTACAAAAGATTTGTTTCAAATAAATGCTGTTCTTCTGAACTTTTTAATGATCAAAGAATCCAGAAATAAAAATGATATCACCGTTTCTCAAAATATGAAGCAGCACAACTGTTTTCAACATTGATAATAATCAGAAATGTTTATTGAGCAGCAAATCAGCATTAGAATGATTTCTGAAGATCATGTGACACTGAAGACTGGAGTAATGATGCTGAAAATTCAGCTCTGATCACAGGAAAAAACGGCATTTAACAATATATTCACATAGAAAACAGTTATTTTAAATTGCAATAATATTTCATAATTAGCTCTGGGCGATTTTCCTCAATAAAACGATAACAAGAGTTTGATAAATGTTCGATATAGTGTTTATGCACCAAAAGAGGAAGGAAACAGCGCTCCTCATTTGAATCGCGGCACACAGAGCATTGATCCGCTCGACTCAAAGTTCAAGCAGCAGCGCAGCGCGAGCTCACTAGAGCAGATGCGTTACTCGCTGATGAGTCTCGGTCACGCCACACTAAACAACGCTTTACGCTGTGATTTAAACTAGTTTAAAGCCGGATGAAACAGCGCTGACAAACAGGAGAAACACTGAGCAATGATACAGTCAGGAAGCTTGTCAATCTACAAATCACTATGGAAGACCAATGGTTAATTTTAATAAAACTCAAACAGTTATATTTCACCATATAAAAATGAGGTTGTTACAATTTTTACAGATGTTACTGTTTTTGATAATGAACATAAATTTACATCTGCATCTTAACACTCAAGCTACTACTGTCAACTCAATCTACTGTCAAACATGCATTTCTAAGAGACATTTTTTTTTTTTTAATATTAACATTGCAGCCTGCACTGCAAACTGTGCTGAAGATATGTGCCAAAGTCAGACAACACAAACCTGTATCATGATTTGAAACAATATCACTCATTAGAATGTTTACATGTTTGTCATGTTCTGACCATTAAAGAGTCGTTTAAAACCACAATTAATGATTAATCTGATTTCTACAACTTTCACTTAGGAGCAAAAATCTGCCTTTAAACTTGAAAGAAATAATGATTTGAAATTTATCGTGATAATTATCGATATCGACTGATATGAAAAATTTTATCGTGATTTTTTTTTGCCATATCGCCCAGCCCTATTCATAATATTAGTTTTTACTGTATTTTTGATCAAATACATGCAGCCTTTATGAGCAGAAGAGACCTCTTTCAAAAACATAAATCTTACAATACAACCCCAAACTTTTGAACTGTAGTGTATTTTTGAATGCAGAAAAGTACTGACACAAAGAGTCCAATTTAAAGAAAACTGACCACCCCAATGTTTGTGTGCCAGATTGTGGAGATTAAACTCACATGAACAAGTAATTCTACTCACCCAGTGACCTCAGCAATGTGCATGTGACGTAATTTGACCCATAATTCATCCTCTTCATTCAGTAAAGCTTCTTTCTTAGAGCCATCCTTTAACTTATACCTAAGAGAAGACACACAGAAAAACACCAATACACAGCAGAACCAAAATAATAGCACGGATGTCTGGTAAAGTAAATAGAAATCAAGTGATTTGGCTGAGAGTAAGTTGAGGTGTCATACTCATAGTTGTTGTCCTTTATTGGTATGAGGTCATAAGCCATAGCCTGGAAGGTGAGCTCATGAAGAATAGGGCTAACAGGGTCCAGCGCACGATCAACAATCAGAAGCTGAGCCTGCGTTTTTCCCTGAATATGAAAGGAAAACACTGAAGAGGCAGCTTTGTGCAAGCAGAAATATCACTTATAAGACAACATCAGGAAAATAACAAGATTACAAACATTATAGGTAAAAAAAAAAAAAGTCTCAGTCAGTACATGATCTTATTCACCAATCCTACTCGGGCTTTTCCTACAAAACTTAGGCTTATAGAGCTAGCAATTCAATTTTCATGAATCAGTTCTTTCGAACGGTCTTATCCAATGAAATCGATTCAGAATTCTGACGGATTAATTGTCTCTGTCTCTGCTCACCAAGGCTACATTTATTTGATCTGAAATACAGCAAAAACAGAAATATTATAGATATATTATTACAATTTAAAATAAGTGTTATCTATTTGAACATACTGTAAAATGTAATTTATTCCAGTGATCAAAGCTGTATTTTCAGCATCATTTCTCCAGTCTTCAGTGTCACATGATCAATCATTCTAATATGCTGATTTGCTGCTCAAGAAACATTTATTATTATTGTCAATGATGAAAACAGTGGTCCAGTGGTTTTTTACAAGATTCTTTGATTAACTGAAAGTTCAAATAGACAGCATTTATATAAAACACAAATCTTTTGTATAGATCTCTTTACTGTCATTTTTGATCAATTAAATGCATCCTTGCTGAATAACAGTATAAAAAAATAAAAAAAAACATACCCCCCAAACTTCTGAACATCAGTGTATGTTAAGAAAAAGCTATATTGTCTAGCTCTAAATCCCACCATATCAATCAGACACGCTGTCATGTGAGGTTGTAGTAAACACTCAACAGCTCCCACCTTTTTCTTCGAATTATCATCCAACTCGTAATGTCGTGCCAGTTTATTATCCACAAGTTCAGCCAACTTGTTTCCATAATCAAGAGCCGAATCCCTGCATTGAAGAGAGAATTCATTACCGAAACCTAGATTAAATATCCATTCAAGCATCAGGTGTAATTTCAGCACATGTAAAGTGAGTAAGAGCAGGCTGACTGTACTTCTTGTATCTGACTCCAGGATACTCGTCCAGCGTGGCGCAGAGAGTTACGATCTGATTCGCTATCGTCTCCAGCGTCTGATCTCTGTCCTGACTGTTCGGAGTGTAGATGCTCTTGAAGGCCTCTGTGTTTTCACAGGTGAACACCTGTACAGGTCACCCATACAACACACACACATTAACAACAGTCATTAACAACACAATACTCGGCCATAACAGGCTAAATGAATCTACACTCACCTGTGCTTCCAGTGGCAGAAACGAGATGTTGATCTCTTTACACACTTTAATGTGCTTGGCACAGTTCTTCTTCATCTTGTCAAAGAGATCATCAGGACAGTCTGTGGCCATTTTGATATAAAAGTAATAAAAATGTCACTCTTGCTGAAAATAACAAGCAATCTATTTGGTCTTTGGGACAATCGACTCACAGTCAGTGAAGAAGACATATGCAGCTTTGTATTTGGGTTTCGGTTTGAAGTCATTAATAAATGCATCAACACACTGCAAATATAAAACATCCGGGTCACAAACAGATCAGCACAGTAAAGTAAGTGATATTATGCTTATTATTTGTGTCTCCTGAGCTCTGACCATGGCAGTGGGTCTCATGAAATAGATGGCCTTCATCTCTGGAACTGGCTCTCTGTTTTTGTGCAGGTCCTCCACAACTGTGAACAAACGAGAGGTAACACGTTATGACAATAACTCCCCATCCAGCACATGTGCATTCTTTTTCTCGATATGGAGGAAACGAAAAGCTTCCCTTCTGGAAAACACAGGAAGGAAGAGCGACCGACTCTCGCTACACAATGAAGTTCAAACACTGAACCTGCAGACAGCTGGATTTCTGTCTAACACACACGATGTTCAACAGAACTGGAGCAAAATCTCTTCTCTCACTTACTTGTGATGCCCTCCGACATGAGATTGGACATTTTGCAGCAGGAGGAGAGGAGGCGCGTGGTGAATTGGTCCAGAATGAGGATCTGTGAGGACAGATTTGACATCAATCACAGAATGTGAATCATTAATCATATTACTCTAACATTAACATAACATGAATCATACGCTGGATTTCAATTCCACTTGTCCTTTCAAATCAAAATACCCTTTATTATAACAAATCCCTGTTCAAAGTGTCAATCAGTATGTACTGTAATTTTTCAGTCAGTAACTTTTTTTTTACTGTACCCTTGTTACATATACTTAATATAGTAATAAAAGTAAATTATGCATAATTACAAACAACTAACCCTAAACCAAGCCCTCGGGTAAGTATATATTAATTAATATTACTTATTTACTTAATTGTGTAATTACACTGATACAGGGACACCTTTAAATAGTGTAACACACTTTACAATAAGATTCCACTTATCTGCATTAAAAATATGTACCTACAATGAAAAACATTGATTAATCTTACATAATTTTTATTTTCATATTTATTTATACATTACTAAAATGTACATAATGCATTACTACGATTATTTAATTGACCATTAATTTTATTAGCGAACATTAACAAATATAAATAAATACTGTAAAACAAATGTGTTGTTACTTAATGGTAGTTAATGTACCAATGAGACCTTATAGGCCCGGTTTCATAGACAGGGCTTAGCCTAAGCCCTGCAAAATGCAATAAATCCATTGAATCAATATAAAAGTTATTTTTCATATTGAAACTGTTGAAAATACACAACATAGTAAGTTGATCCACATATGACAGCCTCTGAACTTGGTCAATATTAATCTTATATGCAGGCACTGGACTAAAAATACATTCAATCAGTCATCGCTCCCAAAATGAATTCAACGGGTCATCTTGTTAATGCTACAAATTAATTACTATATATATATATATATATATACTTGAAAGAGGTTACCAGAAATAGTATGTTTTTGTTTAGTATATAGTAAGGAAAATGTCCTGTAGGTGACCTGCTCTGATACCAGTCAGGTCAGCCAGCTTCTGTGTTTAGTATACAGCAGAGGATTACAGCCGGAGCCAATACTTCATTTGCTCAGTGGGAGACCTTTAAAGGCCACAAATTTGCTAAATATAAACGGAAAGCTTCAGGGGGGAAAGAAAGAAAGAAAGAAAGAAATCATTCAAACTGACCTTCCATACTTCTGACTTTCTGCAGTCGGCAATGAGGGTGTCCTTGATTCCTGTGACGCCACATAAAGGAATCTGTTAGTTATAGCAGTGCCATGGAACTGAAAATCAAGAAAAATTTCCAAGAAGCTTTACTTCCTGTTTTGAGTTTGTTCTGCTTGAAGAATGCACAGACATGTAAAAAACAGCTTATAAATATCAAATGAATATGTGTGTATGCGTGTGTGTGTGGAAAATACTAATTTGTAAAGTTCATAAATGCTAATTTACATGTAGATCTTGATATGTGGATGTTTTCATATTCTGATTAAGTTATATTATTTAAAAAATAATATATTTAAAATAATTTGAGCCATTTCACAGCCTTGGAAATCTGCTGCGGCCCCCCTGCAATACAGATATGTGAAAGTGCAGCCTATCCATTTATAACACTTTGAAAAACACACACATACACAATTATAATCAGCTTATAATTACCTATGAATCCACATATTTAACACTGCAAAATCACTTCGTGTGTGTTATGGCTAGTCTTCATCAAATGTTGTGAACACAAGTCGCAGTTCACAACCATAGACTGTATAAAAACATCACAACACAGCCGACCGGAAGTCACTGATGAACTTCACAGAATGTAACACACGGGCGCGGGAGAACTGAAGTTCCATTATGACATCATCAAACACTCCGCGTCCCGCAACTCTTAAAACGGAAACAGCCAGCGCAGAATTGACAAGCGAGCACTCAGTAGTGAAACTGGACTGGACTGGCTAACATTTAGCAGAGCAGCTAACAGAAACAGTGACTCAGTGGCATATGCACGACATTTAATGAGACAAACATGGCGCAAAATACGGAACACAATCCACATGGTTTGCTTTTTAAACACCAAAACAAACGCGTAAACAAACAACTTCATAAAAACGACTGTGACTCCTCCGTGCAAACCCAGCATAAACTCATCTCTATAAACTTCTGACAGCTCTTCCTCGGAGTTGAACTCTTATAAATGACGAAGCACGAGGCTGTGCATGCAAGAAGTGTGCAGAAAATCAGCTGAATACTCCATGAACTTACTTTGCCAAACTATTCTTTTCAAGCCGTGCTCAGCTCCAGCCGCCATCTTGAGTTGAGTGAGTCGAAAGCAGTGCGCTCCTCCGCACTCCGGGAGGAGTCACGTGTGGACAGTTTTGACGGAGCAGTTTGTGTTGAAATGGATTTTTAAAATTCTATTTAAAATTTTTAAATTCTATTTAAAAAAAATCCGTACTATATTTGGTTTTGTGAATGCACTGTTTTGAAACCTGTTCTAGTAAGCACACTTTTTCCTAGGAGTGAGTTTATTTTTTGGAAGTCCATTTCTGTATAGGCGCATATCTTAAAAGTTTTCATATCTTAAAGGATTACAAAAAAACTATTGCACATTTCCATCATTAATTCCCTGGAGACACGAAGTTGATTAAACGGGCCATTCTTGGAGTGACATAGGAAAGGCAAATTTTTTAAAATATTTTTAATAACAATGTCTTTTAACATTTAAATATTCAGTAAAAATGAATGCTTAATGGCATTTTGGTTTTATAAATACCTGTGTTTATGGTTATACTGATGCTGACTACTATGTCAGTGATCTTATTTTCACCAAGAGGCAGTAAAACCAGACAAATTAGCACAAATCCTACTTTTTCTAAAATTGCCATTATGGTAGTTTTAAGATCAAGGGACATATAGCCTATAGTGCGACTATAATTATCAAAATATAGATTCAAATATGTTAAATCTGCAAGTTATCAGCATAACACCAATAAAGTGTGACACATAATCAAAATTATTATATAATTTAGCAAAATGTTTGAAAATTAAGAATAATTATACCATGCACTCCTCAGAACAACCATCACTTGCAATGACCTTTACACACAAAAAAAGTAAACATATATAATTTTCCTTTTAAAGAGGCAACATCCACTGGTAACACCACAAACATTAAGTTTGGGGACACAACTTTTTCTTAAAATAGCCTATAATAAAATGTTGTTGTTGTTGTTGTTTTTAGATCATAATAATAATAATTAAATTGTACGTTAAATAAAATCTATATATTCACAATATAAGCACTTTAATTCTGTAAAATGTTTTATATTTTTGCAATTGCATCCCATGATACCTCTATGTGGAACATATTTAGCTAAACACACATCTATCAAAGTCATTTAAATACTTTTGAATATATTTTTTTTAACAGTGCACAAATAGTTTTCTACAAAATACAAGTACCTACACATTTTCTGATTCATTGATATATATATATATTTATATATATACATTTTTTTTTAAATTTTTTTTTCAACTGTTGCAAATAAGTAGGACACTACTTGTCACCACAAATGAAGAATGACCCAAACACACATTACTGGGACATGTTCAGACCAAATGGGGTACATTTTCACAAAGGAAAACCTCAATAAACAGTAAAAATGTAATAGGCAACAAAATATATGTCTGGATCCAGAATTATTTAGAATAATTATACATACAAAATAAATGTTTAATCGTTACCACCTTAAAATTACAAAAAGATAATTGTGGTGAGACGTCTCCTTTTAATTTTTTTTAAAGAAAAGATTACAGGGACAGCGTTCCTGTGTAACACTTTAGAATGAATGTTATTTACCTAATTGAGTACTAAAACTAAATACACAAATGTGTATAAACTACATTATTTACATTAGACTGCACAGGCTATAATACAGCATCCCTTTTTTAATGCATGTCATATTCACTTCTGATTGGCCAGCTCATTCTCATCCCCAGCTCTTATTGGCCAGCTCTTCGGAGGAGGCGGGGTTAGGTTAATATATCAGAGATGCTTTTAAGAAAAGCTCCATATAGTCAGCCAAAACACAAGAAACAGAAGAGATTGCAGAGTTTAGATTGAGGAATCAGGATTCAAACAGAGAAAACAGATGGCAGTCCTTGGAGGAATCAAGGGGCTGGTGCTTTTGCTTGGAATAGTCTCACAGGTAGAGTTATGTCACATTTTATTTATTCACTTTTCATTTCCCTTTATTCAGAAATTAAGTGCAACATAACATGCAGCATAGAATGATGTGGCAATAAGGGAAATAGTATTACTTTAAACAAAAAATAAAATAATCATTTTCTATGATTCTGTCATGCATTCATACTTACTTTTTCAAATGCTATGCAGTTATGAAAAACACTTGGAATTAAAAAAAGTATACTTATATAAATGTTTACAATCTAATGAAAGTCTTTGTGAACGGTTTCATTTACAGGCATCAGGTACTGCTCATCTGGATCAAATTCACAGTATCTGCTTAAATTCAAATTCATACTGATAAATACGCTGTTGTTGATTGTGATTTGTATTATATTTAACCAGCATTAAGTTGTTTTGTCTTTTCAGGCAGCACAATGACCGTGAGCATTTTTACGGTGACATCAAAGAGCACAGTATTGCGCTGGAGCAAATATGAAGGCGCATTGTCCTACAGAGTAACAGCTTCTCTCCGAAACTCTCAAGTCCCTGTGGTCTTTGCCAGCTTTGGACAAAACACTATTATGGGCTCCGTCAATTCTCTGAATCCCAACACTGCGTACACCTTTCGTGTCGAGGCCCTGGACAGCCACATGAACATGCTGACAGATGCTGCTGTGGATGGATCTACTGGTGCGTACTGAAATCTACACATGGCTTGCTAAAGAGTAGTGATGGGATCTAGGAAGTGTTTTCAGAATTGAAAGAAATTTCCATGACCTTTCTATGCCAGGAAATGACTATTTTTTTAAATTCCGTGATAATTCTAGGTTTTCCCAATAGAATTCCTGACCTTTTTAATCCTATTTCAGGCTTAGCGTCTTGTTTGTTAAATTGACCTTGTTGCAGTTTAACATTTTTGAATCAGTTAGGCTCTTAGTGTTAAAGACAGTAAATTGATGATGCTTGAAATGAATGGAACTGTTAAATTTCTTATCTTATGTTCAGCTCCTGATGTGCCCACCATTGAGATGGCCTCCTCTAAAGAAAGCCAGAGCATCACTGTGAAATTCACTACGGTCTCCGGTGCCACTTCATACATCCTACGCGCTGAGACAAATGATGGATCTTTCTTCTCAGAGATCCCAGTACCCGGCTCTCCGGGGACTGTCACCAACCTCCAGCCATACACAGACTACACTCTCAGTGTCATGTCCGTCAACAGCGCAGGCAGAAGCCAGCCTTCCATCTCCGTGGAGGCTAAGACAGGTATATTCTTCTAGTCCCTCTCCACCCTCTTTGACCTAGAGGCCAAAGAAATTATCCATTCATGAAAGGACAGAGTTGGCTATTCTCTAACCCTCACCCAGTGTTGTAACCTTATCCTCTCATTGAGAAAGATCAGGATAAGCTACATGGCTGATCTCATGGGCTTGATTTTTAGCAGCATGCATAGCTTGTGTTCACATTTTCAATGAAATAGGTTTCTCACGCATGTGTCCCTAAGTAACAATATCCGGGTTTGCTCTGTAGGCAAAATATGAGACGTTGAACTATGACAAAAGGGCTGCCCTCCTCAAGGGACTGGGCACAGAAAATGTATTCTGTGTCTTCACCTCTGGGCTCTCAGCAGTTTTGTGTCATTGTTCAGGTAGCATGTTTTCCACCTGAGATGAATTCTCAGAATAGCCTCGATATGAAATCCTATCACAAATATCCACAGAATTACGCATGCATATGATCCAAAACAGAACAATGGGGTGTTTTCTTCAAACAACTTAAGCAATCTGAGAACTGTTCCAATTACGTCACACCCGGAAGTGGTAAGAGTAGAACCATTGCCTAGGGTTTAGTGAAAAGAATCCAGTTTCCAAACGAAACTGTCAAGGAAAGGCATCAGTAAAGAACAGGAGAGGGGCAGACAGGACATTCTAGGGGAAGGGCAGGACAGAACAAGAAATGGACCCGACTGAAGAGGGAAAGGAACAGAGGGACTGAAGGTGATGAAAGAGACCAGAAGGGACCTAACGGGAATGGAAGGGAATGATAGAGGACAGAAAGGACATGACAGAGAAGGAAAGGACAGGGAATGGAAGGGAACAGAAAGTAATGGAAGAAAATTAAAAGAAATGAATGAGAAATGGATGAATAGGAAATGCCAGGACAGGACAGGAAATGAAGGGATGGAAAGTGAAGAAACTGAAAGGAAAGGAAAGGATGGGACAGGACAGGAAAAGGCAGGACATTCAGGAAAGGAAAGGAAAGGAAAGGAAAGGATGGGACAGGACAGGAAAAGGCAGTACATTCAGGAAAGGAAAGGAAAGGAAAAGGTACTGCTCTCATTATGTAAAGCCATCTGACACCTGTCAACTGTCCCTCATATCCATATCACTTAATAAATCTAGGATCAGAATTAGATCACTTAGCTTGGTATTCAACCTTCAGAAAAAACTATCTTCAATACCTTGGGTCACAATGCAGATGTCTGTTTGATCTCACTATTATCTTTTCTCTTCTGTTGGACCCCAGTCCTTTCTGCTCCTCAGTTCAACACCAGCTCTCCCAGCAACAGCAGCATCCTGGTGAAGTGGGAGCCAGTGAATCATGCTGTCCTCTACAGTCTCAGCATCATCAAGGAAGGCTCGTACAGCCAAAGTCCCCTCAACACCACAGAAACTCAGGTTCACTTTCCAGACCTGGAGGCAGGAACCAAATACTGTATTAAAGGAAATGCCTGGAGTCCTGAGAACATTCCCGGAGATGACTTCACAGTTTGCCAGATCACACGTAAGACAATAGAGATGGAAAGAGAAAGTTTACTTAATCTTAAGTAGTCTGAATCTGCTGCACTTGACACACATTTACAGTTTTTGTCCTGCCTGTAATTAACACTGAAGGAAAAGAAATGGCTCAATAAAAGTGCAGCCAACAATGCATGTACACCAAGTACAGAATGTTAGGCAGAGCTATCCAATCCTGCTCCTTGGGGTGCGAACATGTTGCAGAGTTTAGCTTCAACCTGTTTTAACACCTGTTAAATTATGCTTGAAGCTAAACTGTGCAGGACAGTGGCCCTCCAGGAGCAGGAACGGACACTCCAGAGGTTAGGAAATGTTCAATGCTAAAAATCTGCGAATGCTGAAAAATTAAACTTTGTGTGTGTGTCC